CAGTGATCTCTCTTAAGAACTGAAAAACAGCAGGGACGGTAGTAAACTAGCCAAACTTGCACGTTAACGGGCAGTTTAATGAGCACGTAACGTGGAGGTGCAAGTTTTTCCGATGATGGTGGAAATCGCTTCTATGGCACCTAGGAGACCTATTTATGAAACTCTGAAGAAAGCTTCCCAGGTGAGCTGCAGCTCCCTGGCAGGGTGGTTCCTTGTTACGCGCAGCCGTAAAACGCGCAGGAAGGGCTCGCTGACAGAAAACGGGACGCGGAGGGGCGAAATACAATGTGTTTGGAGAGACGCAGGTGACGCCCGTTACGCGCAGCAAAAAGTCCTTCGGAGGACTTTTTGGAGTTGGCCAACTTCAAACTGCCAGGTGCGTGGGTCAAAGCACGGTGTTGGAAAGGGAAAGGGAGGCACCTTGCATTGATTCGTCAGTGGTGTAGCGCCTGCGGTCCACGTTGGTGTTGGATCGGTCACGGGATCAATTTTTCGATATTTCTGAAGGTTGCAACCTTCGTAGGCTATTCCTTTTCTCTACAACCCTTTCACACCGATAAGGAAGGGCTCCTTAGACGATGCCGCTTACGAGATGGTGCACCGAAAGTACGAACCCGTGTGTGACGCAAGGTTTGCAGGCAACGTGGGGCTCACCACTTCCACTATGGCAAATTACCAGTGGCTCAATAGGAACGTTCCACGCTGCCGCTGGCAAGGTTGCTGGATCTACACCGCTTGGAGTCTAAGATTTGCAAACAACATCCGTTGCTTACCTGTTGTCAAGACCTCTTCCGATGCTGTGATCGAGTGATCCCTGGTGCACTGGCAAAAACCCGGCTTTGAGTCCTGTCATCCAGGGTTCAAGTCCGAGAGTGGCGCAAGTTTTGCAGGTAGTGTGGCGAGGCTGGCGGTTTCAAGAAGGGTCAAGTCCATGTTTCCACGCTCCTTGTTCCTCGTCAATGGGTGAAAATCACCACATTTGATTGTCAGTCTAGGGCACTTACTGCCGCCCCTGATCTTTCTTCGATCAGAACTCAGTGGAATTCTACAAGAGAGGCATCGATCAGCTTCTAGTGCGTTCAGACAATTTTGCTGCCGCATTGCAGTTGCAACAAGTTCCCATACTGGTAAAGCCAATATGTGCGCTCATGTGCATAATTTTCATGGAGTGACACGCATTGGCAATAGCTCAATGGCAACGTTCCACGCTGCCAGTGGCGGTCACGGGATCGATACCGCATGAAACCCATCTTCTGCAGTGAGCACCGGAATCTTATTCGTTCTCAACATTTCTTCCAGCATTGCTGTGAAGTGTTCCGTGGTGCACAACGATCAGGCTCTCAGTCGTATTATACGGAGACCAATTCCGGGTAAAAAGTCACATCTGCAGCCACAGTGGCAGAGCTGGCACTTCTTATTCTTTAGCGTTGTCCCGCTTGTAGGCGGGGTCCACTTTTCTTATTTGTTGACGCCACTTTTTACCTATTAAAGGACGAATTCACGATTAGAATGAAGGTCGAAGAAGGAGTAATTCACCTAGTTGAGGGACCCGCGGACCTCCTAAGGGTGCGGACTGAAGCGCAATTGGCACCGAAGGAGGGGCTCAATCTTGGCGCGGTGGGCCAGTGCACGCCCACCGATCATCTGATCACTCGCCGCAGGTCTATACGTGGCGAGTGATTAGATAGGTGAGAGAGCGTAGTGTTGAAGAGGGCACAGCGATGAGAGTCGCATCAATGCTCAAATCAACGGGCAAGGAAGGGGTCCCATTTCTCGGGTTCTGGGCCGTTTCTCATGGTTTTTCCTTCTTTCGTGTACCACTCACCATCCTAGTTAATTTGAAATGGGTTGCCTTTTTCAGCGTGAATTCGTCCTTTAAATGCTTGATCGGGGTTTATTTTACCCACTTCAAGTCTTCGTGCAACGTCGAGCCATCGCTGCTTCGGGCGCCCCTAGGCCGCTTTCCGGGCACGTCAAGGTTGAGACCGATCTTACGACACTGTCATCTTTCGCGCGAAGGACATGACCATACCATCGAAGACGGGCTTCGCGCATCTTGTCGACAATTGGAGCCACCCCGAATCGCTCTCTGATGACATCGTTTCGAATGTGGTCTACTCGTGTGACTC